GATTTAGACATTACTCCTTGAAAAAGTTTTAGAATCCTATTCCACTTTGCCAAAGTTTTCTTTAGTTAATTCCTATTAAGACAAACAAGGTATTCTCTTGATAACTTAAGCGTGATGAATTTTATTACTATAGCATCTTCATATGATCAATGTTATACCCAAAAGTCATTTGTTGGAGTATTCATGATTAGAACCATAAGTAGAGTAAATTTACAAGTATAACATTACTCATATAAGATCTTTAGTAAGCTTAAAGGATTGGTTATCCCACTTACCATGCAAGAAAATTTGCCATGAACATCAACTTTATTACCAAATGACATTCTCATATAGGTTTTTGCTTTAACTTTCTAGAGAAAACTGGTTTTGATCAGCTAGATTTTTGCCTTTAACTAGTTATGAAAGAGCACCGATAGACCATCAGATGCGAAAAAGTTCACTGATTCCTGCTGTAACTGAGGATGTTAATGCTTGTATATTTTAAATCCAAGTTAACATGGTTGTCTTTTCGAACATACGGTGGGTTTTGTTAGCAATTATGTTAAGAACCTTAAAAAGACTAATTATGAAACCTGATTCTTGAAGATGTAGTTGGGATGAATATGAAATCTGATTCTTAAAGATTCTTTGTATGTGCCTCATTATGAGGTCAGGGGGTTGGCCTGTAACATTGCGATAAAGGTTGGACATCCTCGTATCGTACAATTCAGAATGTATTGTTTTCTCAAGATTGATCAATGGTACTAAATCAAGCCATTATCTCACTCTTTAAAAACTTAAATGTTGTTTTTGGAAGTTTGCTTGATTTATAGGAGGAATGGAGAGAGAAATAGACTTAGTTCCAGCTAACTACGCCAGCACTTTAAAAGTTCCTATAGGAACCGTAGGTGATAGAGAACTAGTGTGGAGTTCATATTAGATTTATTCCGAATCATTATACCAATGAAACAAAAGAACTGCTTGACTGTGTTTCTAACCTGGCTCTTCAGTAAACCGTATTACCCTGGACTGCATTAATTTAAGGGGATGCGATGCATCAGGTTTCTTCCAATGTTTGAAGAGAGGTTATGTTTCTCTTGAATGCATGTATTCTTGTGTAAATGCAGTTCGATTACATTAGTATTACTCTTATCTCTCAACAGATATCATCTTATTTTTGTAGATATACATAATAAGGGCAAATGATTTGAATGAACTGGATGGGGCTCTTGGCCTCCTCAATTTGGATGCTCATACAAAACAAAGTGATGCAGGCAAGTTGATTGGTACTTTCTTAGGTCTCTTAATTGTCATGTTTTTGCATGTCAGACTGTTTGCATTATGACCGAATTTATGGAAAACTTTAAATGATGCAGAAACTGTCCAACAGCCTCTAAAAGTAAGAAGAGGAAATGTCCGAAACCTCTCCCACTTGCTTCTGTTCGAAAGAAGAACAAGAGTTCTGGCCTACAGGGATTGTCTTGTAACATCGGGCAGCCAGCAGTGCAATCTGAAAATGATAGTGAAGAAGTTGGTTCAGAAGTTTTGGAAGATTTCAAGCGAAACGTGCCGACAAGTCAATTCAAAGGCATAACAAGTTTTGAGAACAACATATTGGTTGATGGCTTGGTTGTAGATCCCAAGCTCTCGGAAGATATTCGCAGTAAATACTACCAGCTATGCTGTAGTCAAAATGCTTTCCTGCATGAAAATATCATCCAGGGTATAAGTTTTAAATTTAAAGTTGGAATTATTTCCGAAACCGTCAGAATCGCTGATGCAATTAGAGGTTGCAAGCTCACAACATCTCGGGATGAATTTGATAGATGGGACAAGACATTGAAAGCGTTTGAGTTGTTGGGCGTAAATGTCGGATTCTTACGAACTCGGCTACAGCATCTGGTAAACCTTGCATTTGAGTCGGAAGGCGCTGCTGAGCAAGGAGATACTTTGAAGCTAAAACAGAACGAGCTCAGACCGAGAATGAGATAAGAAACCTTGAAGCAAAACTCGCTGAGCTGAAGCATGCCTGCAAGACGTTCGGATTCGAAATCGAGAGTGTGCAATGTACAGCAGAAACCAATGAGCTGAGGTTTGAGAAAGAAGTTAAGGCTCCATGGTGAGATTTGCAATGTACAGTATCTTTTTATGTATCCATAATCTGCAACTCTAGCAAGATGACAACACTAGTTTGTATCAAAGATACTGTCTGGAGATTGCTAGCTAGTTTTATTATTATTCTTGTTCTTATTCTTATTATTATTATTCATTCTTTAATTTTCTAAAATGCTGAAATAGGTATGTTCATATCCGAACGTTCAAATAATAATGGATCCAAAAATATATACAACAAATACATGGATTAACTAAAATATCGAATATATCAATATTACTCACATTTTAAGGAAAATGTTACCTTTTATTTTAGGGTAAAGTACAAAAATGGTGCTTCAACTAAAGGGTGTTTTATTGAGGCCTTAATTGTTGGATGTTGCTTTGTTGAGCCTCCAACCATTAAAAGTTATAAAGTGATTATTTGATTATTCATATTTTTCAAACTCGTCATTTTCTATTAAAAAATTGACAATCGTATGAGCTAGACGTTAACTTAGTGACTGAGATAAGATAAAATCATACTCTAATGATGTCAATCGGAATCATTGTTGCTTTTAAGCACTGGTTCTACAACATAATATTTCAAGCATTGACTCGACGATATAATGTTTCAAGTACTGATTGACGGCATAATGTAAATAAAGACTCGATCCATATAATTCAGCTCAAACAATTCTTCCCAGTAAGCATGTTAACGTATAGTTCAAAGGATCACCAAGTTTTTAACGAAAATTGACGAGTTTGTAATATATGAATAGTCGAATGACCATTTTATTAATTTTAAGAGTCAGAGGACTCAACAAAGCAGCATCCAATAATTAAGAAACTATTTTATAACTTTCAATAGTAAAAGACCCTACAAAACAATGCCTATAGTCGGGAATCATATGTATATATCCCCTTTAATTTAAACTATCGAAACTGTTACCTAATTAATTTAAAATACGAAAAACATCAACATTACTCGCATTTTTTAGATAATTCAATTTTAATAATAATAAAAAAGTAATATATATTACTCACTCTTTTGAAGGGGGGGAAATGTCTTCTAAACTCGAACTATCGAAAAAATTGTATTCTAATAAGTTTAGAGACTACTTCTCAATTATTCTAGTAAAAGGATGTTACCTCAATTTTAACATAAAATTATATATCTATATAATAGATGAAAATATGAACATGATATAGTTAAAAAACTATATATAATATATGATATAAGTTTAAAATATTAATAAAAATATGTTCATTAAAATATACAAATGATATAAGATTGAAAATAATGAATATACATGTAAGACAAGAAAAATTTCACACACACACATATATTTATATAAATGTAAATGTAAAATCAGTATTAATGTAAAATATACTATATAAAAACATGAATTATAATATATATATATATATATTATACAATACACAATATAAGAAATATATATGATATAATATTATAGCAAAATAATACTGGTATAAATAAATAAAATGAATGGTTTATCTCAAAAAAAAAAGATTGAAATACAATTAAAACACTGAGAAATGAAGCTAATTAAAAACAAAATGAAACATAAGGACTAAATCATATTAAGTGCAAATTAAAGACAAAAAACATGTAATTCTAATTTATCTAAATATTTTTTTAGATACGATTCTTCTAATTTATTTTAAAATCAATATTATGGACAGCCCGAAGAAGAAAAAAACATGACTTAATTCCCAAATGAAATCCTACAAGATTAAAACAAATGAAAAATAAGAACAATAAATTCCCAAATGAAGTAAAAATAAAAGGAATTAAACCAGCCCTCAAATGGTAAAATTAGGGAAATAATATAGACGGGAATTTTTTCTTGAAAAATAGGGGTGATTGAGAATTATTTTGAGATCTGTGTTATTTATTACGGTGCACGTAAAACTCGTCATTTAGGGTGACGAGCTAGGAACTAGTCCCGTAAAGAGACGGATTCCATACAATTTTAATCCATTTTATATGATGAGTTCTATTTTTCAAATATATTTATACCGAACTCATTACTTTCACGTTACGAGTTTTACATGCATGATAGGAAACAACCTATACTCTAAAATAAATTTGATGATGTCCTATTTTGTTAATTAATTATTTCGTCAACGGTAATTACTTAATTTTACCTATTCAAATCTCATATGTCTTTTATTTAAAAAAATACAAATGATCTTAATTTCAACGTCTTTTCTTTCTTATATGTAAATAAAAAGTAGATGATTATTTAAAAATTATTTTAAAATTTGTAATTATCATTTATTGACAACATAGATGACGTAATGAGTCGAATCTGTAATATAATTTCTCCTAATAAACTTTCTATATAAATTTTGACTTAACGTGGAACCGACAATTTAAAAAAAAATCACGTACAAAAGTATAACAATTTGAAATCTAAATTAACTTAATTATTTATTAAAGTTTGAATCGAAAACTAAAAGAAAAATGATTGATGAAGACATATCAACAACGCAATCCAATTTCCCTGTTTTAATCCACAGAAGTGGTTGTTGCTAACGCATGGCTTACTGGGTCATAATTGGTTTGAGATTGGAGTAATTAGTTAATGAGAGAGGAACAAAGCTTAATTATTGAAACATTCAAAGCTTAATTAATGAAGACAAATCACCTACTAATCCCAATGCCTTCCACTTGACACGCCCTAAGGCCGTACGCTCTGTGATTGCATCGAAGGGGTGGGGCCTTACGCTTGACCAGATTTCAGCCATTTTTACACCAAATATAATATTAAACAAGACAACTACATTTTATATAAAAACTAAGGAAAACCAAGAAGAAAAAAGGCGTATGTTTCTCTTTCGTGTCATTGTTTTTCACGAGGCAACAAGGAAAAAAAAAAGGCCTCGACCTCGTTCCGCTCCATACTTCACAAGGATTTTGCCGCCTCCTCCTTGGCTTCTTCTTCCTTTCCTCGGATTGTTTCAGTAGCTGAGAATACAAAGGGAAGCAAGATGGGTTCCAACGAACCATCCTCTTTCTTCTTCGGCTTTGTGAATTTATATGTACTTTAATCTCCTTTCTTTCTTGGGATGCTTCAGCTTCTGCGAAAACAGCAATGGCCGAGTACATCTGTTTGTTTCACAAGGTACCCTTTTCTCTTCACTTCATTTTACTTTCTGGTTTCTTTTTCTTTGGTCAGTTCTTACTTGGTTTCTTTGTAATGCTTAGAAAAAAAAACAAGAATCAAATTCTTGTCGGATGGTCCTGGATTGTGTCGATGGATGATGCCAAAGCTCAATGTTTTGAAGAAATCATCTGATTTTTCTTGACTTCCTGTTCGAACCTTTTCTTTTATTTAAGTTAATATTTCTGTTTTTTTAATTCGAAACAAAACATTCGATGCTCGTGAAGGATAATTTTTATTTGACCTCTTTGCTTGTTTGAATCTGGGTTTTGGCTTCACTTGTTCTTGCACTTTCATGGTTTCTTGTATGCGTGAATTTGGAGTTCTATGCATAAATATTAGCTTCCACTTCAAAATTAAAACCTGCATTGTATTATTTTCCTGTTAAAACTACTAGTTGAGTTTCAACTTTTTTCTATTTTCCTCTATCTTTTCCAGGCACCTTTACCTTTTAGCTTTACTAGTTACATCAGTTTGAAATCTCTCTCCTTGTCCCTGGAAAGACACATGATTTCGTGTCAGGGTGCAATCTTAGGATGTTATATTAAAAATTTAGGAAGGATGAAATTAGATATAGATATAAAATATAAAGAAAAAACCTAAGTTACCTGAGAATTTGAAATTTCAGGGAGTGCGACCGCACTCCAGCACCGTTCGGTCCGTCCCTGGTCAATATATTTTCTACTAAAAATGTTTTCTTGCTTTCTTATCTCCATAAATTTTATGATGATTTCAGTTATATATATTTGTGTTTTTCTATGCAGGATACTCTAATTATAAAGTCTCCCAAGAAATCTCCATTGTTCTTAAGGACAGTAGTTTTATTGTTTGCTGTATTGTGTGGTATTTATATCTGCACAGTCTGTTTAAAGCAGATAAGTGTTGTTACCAAGCTCAAATTTCAAAACATTCAAGTCATACAGAATCCAACTTCAGATAATGACATTACTGAGCAAGTAGAAGCTGTAATTCCTACTTTGCACTACCCTAAACCTGAAACTTTTAGCAGGTAAACAAGAATACTTCCATTTCTAGTTTTTCATATATTTTTTTCTTTCTGATCAAAATTATCTGAGGTTTTGCCATTCATACTTTGTCAGGGGTGAATGCGCACGAAATCCGGTACGATTCTTTGCCATATTGTCGATGCAAAGGTCTGGAAGTGGATGGTTTGAGAGTTTGCTAAATAGTCATATTAATATAAGCTCGAATGGGGAGATATTCTGTCCAATGGATAGGAGGAAAAACATTTCAACAATTATACAGACTTTGGACAAAGTTTACAATTTGGATTGGCTCAATAGTGCTTCCAAGAATGAGTGCTCTGCCGCTGTTGGCTTCAAGTGGATGCTGAATCAGGTATACAAATGTAGTTGAATATTCAAGATAGTCATTTTTCCATTACAATTGTATACATTTGTTTTCCTATGTCGTTTGATGCCTTTTTCTATAAAAAAATGTTCGATGAGTTCCCTTCCGGAAAGAAAAAGAATTGTTGAGGCTTTTTTCAGGGACCTCTCATTGTCCTTGAATCAAGTTATGATGAAATTTCAGGTTAGATATTTCAGTAAAGTTGCCCCATTCAAATTTGCTTGTTTACTTGTTTATCTGTCTGGATCATTGGAGAAAACTGTACTTAGTTTTAGATGTCTGATTTTCGCGTCTCCAAATCCATAACAGTGATTAACCATAAAAGCAGCGTCACGGAAGACCCTGAAGATGGCCATTATCCTTTATGATGGATGCAAATTATTTGAATCCCAGGAGCTGCTTTATGGTCTACAGCTAACTGCTAGATGTATTTTCATGCAGGGATTGATTCTGCACCATAAAGAAATAGTAGAATACTTCAACTGTCAAGGAGTGTCTACCATATTTCTCTTCCGAAGAAATTTGCTTCGGAGAATTGTTTCTCTGCTTGCAAATTCATATGATCGCTATGCCAAGCTATTAAATGGAACCCACAAGTCTCATGTTCATTCACAGGAAGAGGTATTTGTCCCTATCCCTATCCCACCACAGACTCACTCAGTTGTGTTTGACCTTTTTGTCATTGGAGAACCTTGAACTTATTGCCGGTCACTTGATGTAGGCAGCTGCTCTTTCAAGATACAAGCTGGTAATCAACTCTACATCATTAATAAGTGATCTGAAAGAACTAGAGATGGATGCTGTCAAGGCTATAGAATACTTCAATAGCACCCGCCACATGGTTTTGTACTATGAGGATCTCATCACAAACAGTACAGTAAGGATATAACAAGTTTTCGTGAAACATTTACGATATTTCTGAACTTCAGCTTTTAGCAAAATGTCGTAGAATAAACGATTTGCCACCCCCTTATGCAGTGCTGTTGTGCCAAGTTGTGCCTTTGTTTATGTCATTCTTTTCCATGCTTGTCACAGAAACTAAAAGATGTTCAAGAGTTTCTAGGTCTTCCGCCGACGGGATTGACTAGTCGACAGGTTAAAATACACAAAGGTCTGTTGTCTGATTTTGTGAAGAACTGGGATGATGTGGTAAAGACATTAAACGGCACACGATACAAGAGTTTCCTCGAAGCTGACTACTAAGAATGACTCCCTTGCTAACAAAAAGAAGGTTATGGATGCAATCTTCCGTTGAGTTTTTCCTTTTTTACAGAATGCTTATCAGACGTACTCCCGAATCGAAAATTTTTGGTTGCTGTGAAAAGGATGGCGATGATTCCGGCAACACTTGAGTGTTCTATACCATAGTGAACCGTGTAGCAGTTTTTTTTTTTTTTGAATTATATTGATAATACAGACAGCATGTATATGCCAGCTAATGAAATTTGGGTGAATCAATCGTTCATCCATAAACAGTGTTTTCATCACGTTATATGCATCAATCTTTTGCCTTTCTGGTTCTCTCTTGCAGTGCTGCACACACATTCTTTCTAAGAGACCGGTGATCAAATATATTTAACTTTTTAATTATATTCTAATGATAATCAGATATGTGTATTTCAATGTTTATGGGTGTGGTGTTTATTTGACTTATTTCTATTATCAATTCATAGAATTATCTTCAATTCTTAGATATCGGTATATAAAAAGTAAATATTGTTTGAGATTTTGAGAGAGAAAGTATAGATCAAAATGAAATAAATCATGTAGATATATGACTTAATTATAAAATAGGTGCATATACTATATTCTTTTTTCACGAATACGTGTTTAAACTATTTTTTGAATTATCTTGGTGCCTAACGTTACAAACGTTACGACTTTACGTGTAGGGATGGCAACTCAACCCGAATCCGACGGGTTCCGACCCGACCCGACCTGATCGGGTCGAATTTTTTTAAAAAAAATTCGGGTTCGGGTCGGGTCGGGTTTTTTTTAAATGTACTGTTCGGGTCGGGTCGGGTTTAGGGTGAAAAAAATCCGACCCGACCCGACCCGAAAATATATATAATTTTATCCTATATATTTAGGGATAATTACAATAATGTCCCTCCATATATAATTTTTTTCAATTAAGTCACTGTTTTCATTGAATAAATTTTTTTTATTATTATTTCGGGTCGGGTCGGGTTTCTAAGTCATATATTCGGGTCGGGTCGGGTCGGGTCGGGTGAAACCTTAATTTCGTCGGGTCGGGTCGGGTCACGGGTGAAAAACCCTTTCTTCTCGGGTCGAGTCGCCCAAAAACCCGACCCGACCCGACCCATTGTGTTGAAACATTTTGATATTTCGATATAACAAATTAAGTTAAATGGATTTTAAGATTTTCCAAATGATTTTCTAAGTATATTCGATATAACTATTCGAATATCAAAACATTACTCCAAATATTTCAAAAATCATTTTTAATCCTTACTTAAGTGTAAAATTAAGTTTTAATCATAAAACAATTTCAAAATAATCTTACAAAGTATTTCGAACCAATTCAAAGCCAAAAATTACAGATTGCTCAGAGGGAACCGATTCCCCCCCCATAGGAGGAACCGATCCCCCCTAAATGGTTTTGGCCCCGAAATTTCCAGAATGCTCGGAGGGAACCGATTCCCCCCATAGGAGGAACCGATTCCCCCCTAAACAGTTTTGCTCCGAGAATTCCAGTATGCTCGGAGGGAACCGATCCCCCCCAAGGGGGTACCGATTCCCCCCTTGTACAATGGTCGAAATATTTGAATTTTACACTTAGGAACCGATTCCCTTCAAGGGGGAACCGATTCCCCCCACGCTCCAAGCTGTTTTATTAAATGTTTTCACACTAAAACGACTATAATATCTTCTCTAATCATCCCCAACGTTCAGAAGTGATCCAAGGTGTATTTAAGCAAGCTTAGAAGCCATTGATCAACAACAAGAAACATCAAGCAACTAGAATCAAGAGAGAATCAAAGAGAAAGCATCAAACCTCAAGTTTGAGCATTTCAAACCTATTTTCATTCAATATTCATTTTGCTTTCAAGAACACTTTTTGTGCTCAATTGTATTCAGCTTTGAGTGTTCTTTTCTTTGTTCTAGAATTGTGCAAACATCTTACCTTGTGAGGTTTTCTTGTAAGTTTGCAAATTTGTAATCTTCTCTTTGGGAAAAAGAGTGTTCTCAAGAGTTGGGGTATACTCTTGAGGGAATTGTAAGGTTATCTCTTTGGCCTCAAAAGAAAGAATAAATTAGTGAATTTGTTGGAAAATCCTTAGTGTGGATAGCTAAGGTAGTGGACGTAGACTTTATTTGAGAAAGTCGAACATCTTTAAATCGCTGTGCAATTACTTTCAATTTTCTGCAAAAGCTTCCACAAAAATTTTAATTGCCAATTCACCCCCCTCTTGGCCGATTTCGTCAATCGATTAACTCAACAATTGGCATCAGAGCCTAACTCATTTGAAGGTTTTATCGCCTCTTGAGTCGATTCGGGAAGAGTTATATCGATTATTAAAGTCACCAATGGCCTCCGCTTCAAACTTCGACTCCGGTCTCGATTCGATGCCCGTCAACAAGCCTCCTTTCTTCAATGGAGCTAACTATGCCTATTGGAAGAATAGAATGATGTACTTCATTCAAGCAAGTGACATGGGAGCATGGAATGCTGTAGAAGAAGGATACATCAAACCTCTCACTCATCCAAGGTTGTGGAGTGAAGGAGAGACAAGAATGTTCCAGCTCAACTCCAAAGCCATCCATTATTTTTTGTGCTCTTGGACCAGATGAATACGGAAGAGTTTCATCGTGTACAACCGCCAAAGAAATATGGGACAAACTTCAAGTCACACATGAAGGTACAGATGAGGTAAAGAAATCAAAAATTAGTATTCTAACGCATAGCTATGAAAATTTCAGGATGAAATCAAATGAAGACATCAAAGCTATGATGGATAGATTTTCAACGATTGTCAATGGTCTCAAATCATATGGAGAGATCATCTCAAATGAAAAGCTTGTGAGGAAGTTAGTCTACTCCCTCCCAAAATCATGGCAATCAAAGAAGACGACAATCATCGAGTCTAAGGACCTATCGTCCTTAACTCTTGAAGAACTTATCGGTTCACTCCTCACTCATGAGATGATGCTCGAAGATGAGGTGGACCTTGATAAAGTTGAAGAGACACCAAAGGAAAAGGAGAAGAAGAAAATATTGGAGTTGCTCTCAAATCCACAAAGATGAGAGTGATTCTAATATGATGATGATGACGAGGAAATGGCATTGTTTGCCAAACGGTTCAGAAAAATGATGAGACCATACCAAGGAAGAAAATTCAAACGAAACGAAGGCCTCAAAAATGAACCAAAAGAGAAGGACCCAATCATTTGCTATGAATGCAAAAAGCCGGGGCATGTCAAATATGATTGCCCACAATTGAAGAAAAAGGGTCAATCAAAGAATAAGCACAAGGCTCATGTGGCTACATGGAGCGATGAAGAAGGTTCCGATGAAGAGGAACAAGAAGTAGCAAACTTGTGCTTGATGACATTCGGGGAAGATTCTAAGGTAACCTCTAACTCATCCGATTTTGATGATTTATCTTATGATGAGTTATTTGAGGAATACAATGGGTTGGCTTCGGATTATGAGAAATTGTTTTTAAATATAAAAATGATGTTTCAAAATTGAAAAATGAAAACAAACTCATATCCAAAACCAACAACGATCTTGAAAGTAAAATCAAAGATTTGCAAATCAAACTAGAAGAGTTTGAAAAGAAAAATTTAGATTTGCAAAATTTACTTTCAAAGATCAATGATGATCATCAAAAGAAAATTGATGATCTTAAAACTTCTTTTGATAAAGTTGGAACAAAACATTTTGAAAAAGGTGGAAATTCAAAATCCAACTTTGTTAGAAAAGTTTTAGAAACTACAATCATAGAGGTCCCCAAAGAACCTCTAATGGAAAAATCATTAGAAGTATGTGGGTTCCTAAAAACTCATTACTACTAAAGATAAAAATATCCTACAAATGGATACCTAAGGGGACTAGGATTTTGGAAACTAATGAATATGGACCCAAAAGAATTTGGGTACCAAAAATCAAAAATTAATCTATGTTTGTAGGGAAAGGAGCATTGCTACAAGGCACGGGAAACAAATTCAAATTCATGGTACCTTGATAGTGGATGCTCAAGACATATGACCGGAGACAAAAGCCGGTTCATTGAGCTTAACGCCAAAAATGGAGGAGAAGTGACTTTTGGAGACAATTCAAAAGGTCACATTGAAGGTATTGGTACAATAGGTAATACCTCTTCCATACAAATTAAGAATGTTTTATATGTGAATGGATTAAAGCATAATCTATTGAGTATTAGTCAATTATGCGATAAAGGATTCAATGTCTTATTTGAAATTAATGGTTGTAAAGTCATTGACATTGCATCTAATCGGATTATGCTTGTTGGTCATAGAATAGGAAACATTTACATGGTGCATTTAGATTCTATTGATATGACTAATTTATGCCTAGTTGCTAAGGATGAGCATGATAGTTGGTTATGGCATAGGAGACTAGGTCATGCTAGTATGAGTGTTTTGCAATGGTTAATTCAAGGAGACTTAGTAAGAGGGTTGCCTAAGCTTAAATTTGATAATGATAAAATATGTGATGCTTGTGCTAAAGGAAAACAAAAACGAGTTTCTTTTAAATCTATTAATGATGTATCAACTAGTAGAGTATTACAATTGATCCATTTAGATCTTTTTGGGCCAACTAGAACTACTAGCTTGGGAGGAAAACAATATGCATTTGTCTTGGTAGATGACTATTCTAGATACACTTGGGTTCTATTCTTAAGTAATAAAGATGAAGCATTAGAAAATTTCATCACATTTTCAAAAATAATCCAAAATGAAAAAGGTTACTCTATCACTAGTGTTAGAAGTGATCATGGAACTGAATTTGAAAATCTTGGATTTATTGAGTTTTGTAATTCTAATGGTATTAGCCATAATTTTTCAGCACCTAGAACCCCTCAACAAAATGGAGTTGTTGAGAGGAAAAATCGAACTTTAGAAGAAATGGCTAGAACCATGCTTTGTGAAAATAATTTGCCAAAATATTTTTGGGCAGAAGCCACAAATACCGCTTGTTATGTTGTAAATCGAGTAATGATTAGGCCAATTTTAAAGAAAACTCCATATGAAATTCTCAAAAATAAAAAGCCTAACATTAGCTATTTTCATCCTTTTGGATGTAAATGTTTTGTTTTAAACAACGATAAAGAAAATCTTGGAAAATTTGATGCTAAAAGTGATGAAGGAATTTTTCTGGGTTATTCCTTAAATTCTAAAGCTTATCGTGTATTTAATAAAAGAACTTTAGTTGTAGAAGAGTCTATTCATGTT